ATTCTAAATTAATATTCCTCTGGTTTTAAAATATAAGTCTCTTTTTATAGTGTAAATTACATTACAGAAAGAGTCTTATATTTAAGACTGGAAGAGTAACATTTCATCTTTACAACACCTTGCAATAGGAGAAGAACATTAATATAAAAACTAACTCATCACTACTTACTTGATTGATTTTCCTACTTTGCAATGGTTTATGACCAATTTCTCTCATTCAAAGTTCTTAACACAATAATGATCAAAATTCTCATTTCTCTAATTTTCTAATGAAAAGGCATTTAGTGTCATTTTATAAAATTTTCAAGCCCCTCTTTGGTCATATCATATGACCTAATTAGAAATTTAACAAATTTAACAAAACCAAATAAGAATTTAAGTTATTAAAATTACTTTTTAAGGGTTTTTCCTAATTTATATATAAGTGTTCTATACACTTATAAATTAACACGTTTTATATGTAAACATTATTTTTTTTTAATATTTTGATTAAATATATTATTCCAAACCACCCATATGACCTCAGTTTAACTCCGATTTGAGTAACTGACCTTAAACCATTGTGCCAACCCCGTGTACTTTTGCCGTACCATCCTCAATTCATCTCCAGCGTATTGATCCAATGTCCATTAACACTGATGATTCTACCACTGCTTTGGACAGGGAAGAAAATAGAGAGGGAGAAAAATTAAAAATAGATATTTCCCCTCTCCCTCCCTCCCTTATTTCCCCTGGAGGAAGTGGAAGGCAAAAATTTTCCCCTCTAGAAGGAAAAATGCTTTTTTCTTCCAATTTTCTCTCCTTCCCATCCAACGAAACGAAAGGTAAATTAATTGAAATCAATTCCAACGCTGCGCGAAGACATTATTTGTATCATAGAATCCACTAATCCCACAAATTGATATAGCAAGTGAAGTCGGGGACCAAATTAAAGAACTACAATAGTGGGGCTGGCGTATACCAAAATGCAGGTCAGAGCATTAAGAATTACTATCGTTTTCTCTCAGATCGCCACTTGTACACTGGTCTTGATGTTGGACAGACAACTTCATCTTCCCGTAGTTTCCGTTTTCGACCCTTTTTCTGTTTATATAACACCCCCCCCAAAAAAAAAAAAGAGCGTCTTTAAGTATTATAGAGATAGAAAGTAGAAATAAAACGAGAGAATTCTGAAAAAATATCTTTGAATTTTAAAATTTCAAATCAGTCTTATTTATCGTACTTTATAATAATTGACAAAATTTAAAAAACAAATGACAACACATTTTTGTAATCATTCTTGATTTAGAATTTTGAAATTTTTAGAGGCATGTTTTTTGGGATTTTTCCTAAAAGAAATCCAGAATAGAGTATAACGAATGGCAAATACCTGTAGCTCCTTCTGCATTACCATATCATTGTATATTCTCCTCCAGTTGACTCAACCTATTCTTCCTCTCTTCCAACTCTCTATAAGAGGCAGCCGTTCGCCTGAACATCTCAAAATAATAATAATAAGTAATGACGATAAAAGTGGAAAAAAAAAAAAAAGACAGAGAAAGAAAAGAGAAAAATAAATATCATTTTCCACTTATCATACGGCTGTACCTCTTAATCTCATCAGGAACATCACTTGATTCAAATTCTTCCTTCCCTTAATTTGTGACTTAATTTCTTTAGCTTCCCGCCTGCATAAATATACAGAATAGATTTAAAGAAAGGATCCACACAACTTAAATAAGAAATTGGGGGGGGGGGGGGGAGGCCTTTCCCTAATGGTAGAATACATACAAGAGCTTGGAAGTAGGGAATTTTTCATAAAATTTACAAGGAGCTTCTATCCAATATCAAAAGGCAGGAAAATAATGAGACAAGGATCTTGAAACACGTACAACTGAACATGACAAATATTAAATCAATAAAGATAAAGGCCATTTGTCCAGCCGTGTGCTTGTTATTGAAATGAGCATTCATACCTGTCCTCAGCAAAGTAAATATGGCCAGACTGCTGGTGATCAACAAAGTGCAATGAAGCAGTTAGCTTTTCAACTTTCTGCATGCAAAAATTCAAAATTAACCCCACATGACAATTCCACATAAATTCTTAACGAAAAGGACATTCTACCTCATTGATCTACCTTTCTCTCACTCTGAACTTTTTGAAGAACATATCCTATATCTTGGGTTTTCATCAACATAAGCTCTTCAGGTGTATATTTATTTGCTTCACTCCTAAAGGAGACAAAGCTATCCAGTTAACTCGATTTGGAAAGTAATTATGCATGACTAAGTTACTAAAAAAAGCTATAGAACAACTATAAGGTGGGAAGCATCCTACTCAGGTCTATGAACTCCATCAACCACTTTTGATCTGATCATTTTGAAATAAAACTCATCCGGGTTTCTGAATGCTGCTTTCTCTTTAAGTTTCTGTAGGGCAAATGCAGAAAAAATATTAGTAGTTAGGTTTTCGTATATAGACATATAGAAAAATATGTTTACTTATTCCAGATAGTAGAGGTTCACATATAGGCTTTAACATTGTAAAAGGAAGTTGGTTGACGGTATAGTAGTTCCCAATTCTCTTTTTGTAATTGTTTGCAAAACCCTAAAAACACTAATAGCCTAAATGATATTTTAAGTGAGAACTACAATTCTACTCTATTATCTTGAATATAACAGGTTGGCCTCCACTTTTCAGGTTGTGTTTTATTATCTCTGAACTTGGACTTATAAGCTGATGAGAGCACATGAATAAGGCGACTAAGGCGCATAGCTTTCACAAGGGAAACAGCGTAATTGGTGCTCACCTATTGAAGCCTTACTGAAGGTTGTGAATCACAAGTCGTCAGGGGTGTCGGACCTCTTTAATGCATCACAACTGCTTTTGACTACACTGGATACACTCATGATTCTCTAGATTTTCAAATGGTTGGCAAGGGGTTCAAAAGGAATTTGCAAAAGAAATTAGAAGAGATGCCTTTCTTATTCCTTTACATGTGTGACAAGGCTTTTAAAATATAGTGGCCGAAATCATTATGATAGGAGTTGTTTGATCTTACTGAACTTCCTACGCTGTTCTGATGTAGAAAGAACTTGTTAAAGATGCTGCATAGTTCCAGTTTTATGATTTTAAATTAACATATTCTAATTTTTGTTCCAGTCAGAGTGGCCCTTAAGGTCAAGGGTTTTCAGAGGAGGGAGGGGATATTGTTAGGCATTAGTAGTTAGTAAGTGAGTTTAGTTTGCACTGAGGGAGGGAGGAAGGGAGTGAGTTGGAATTATAAAGAAAGTATCAAGCTATGATGGGCGCCTGGATTCCTACACATGTATGTCTAATCTGAACTGTATCAGCAAGGTCCAGTCATGTTAACAGATTTGTCTCTATTCCCATATTCATTCTATTTCTATTATTTTTCCCTTATCACAAAGATATGCATCAACGCCGTTAGACCAGTCATGCAAAATCAGAATGGGAAAACTGTTCCACAAATGTACCCGTATAGCCTCCTCCTTTTTATGGAATGCTTTTGCACGTACGACATAGTCTTTGTGCTTTTCAAGAAGGCCAAATTTTTTCCTCGAGGACCTGATAAAATTGCAAACAAACTCAAAAATCAAAACAGACCAATAGCCATCCAATGCGTTTTGTGAGGTAAAGCAAACATAGAATTTCTCAAGACTTACGGCTGAGCACGCTCTTTGTGAGCCCGTCTGGGAATGGCGTTCTTGAAGGAAGACATGTTCAAGTAGAGAGAAGCCGCAACGGCCTGAGCTCAGTGCCGAGGTAACTTATGGATGTGGAGGTTGCGACAGAGACTATTCAATAGAGAGAGGGAACTGCGCCGCGAGAGAGGAGCTGAAACGGGTTATGCGTAACCCGTTGATTGAACTGTATAATGAGGCAGAGGTGTGCCCTGATTGTTCCAAAACAAATGCTCAAATTCTCGTGGTCGCGTCCCCGTCTTGTGGTCGAGATCAATCCAAGTAGTGACTGAAAAGCGAGGGCGCACGGCGGCGCGTTGGCCGATGGTGCTTGTGCAGAAGAAGGGAAAATATAGCAGAGATGGCACACGATGGGGTTGACCTCGATCGAATCAGGGGAATGACGATGGCAGAGCAACGCGAAGGAGGAGCCAAGATTGTCGTTTGTCGGACGGGAAAGAGGAACTCGAAATGGGATCGGCGTCCTGCTGAGCCCTAAGGCAGTGTTCAGTTGGCTTTTTTTTTTTTTAAGAGCGTGTTTTTGGTTGCAAGGAAGGAAGGAAGGGGAGGGGCGGGGAAGCGGGGAGAGAGGGAGCAAGTGCGGATCTTCTCAGCGTGCTCATTCTTATCGGTAGTATTGAAAAAACGAGCCGGCCCGACCTACAGGACCAACCTGCCACTGGCTAAGGCTTAAACGAGCCAGCCCATTCAATCTCAAGTTCTAAAAATAAATGATATTTTTTAAGCCCGACCCGTGAAATAACGGGCTTGGGTTTGGGCTGGCCTACAAGTTTTATACCTGTTTAATTAAAATATAATTTTTTTTAATTTTTTTGCATATTTTATTAAAATAATAAAACTGAAACAATAAAATTATTAATAAAAGGTATAAATAAAAATAAAATTAAGTCATAAATATAAACATCATTATATCAAACATCTATCACAGTATAATAGAATCTGTTGAATAAGCAAACTAAGTGAAGAACAGACATAAACAAATAAATAAGCACTAAGTTCAAAAAATAATTGCAATACGGATGATTTGGTTTAATTATAAATAATTAATAAAAAAGTTTAACTAGCAAACATAATATACATAAAGAATAATCATTTGTCCTACCGACAAAAAAGAAAGGAATCAATCATGCCCAGTTTTAAATTTGTTTCTAATTATAAAAATGATATAGATTTTTATTTCAATTCAAAAGATTCTTTAATTAATTCTATTTCAAGCATAAAAAATATGAAAGAATAACAAATAAAGACAGTAAAAATTATACATATAATATTTTAATAAGTTTTGACAACTTATAAATAACAATACATTTTTGTGAATATACTTAGTTTTAAATTTTGTAATTTTCACATTTTTTAGTTATTTTTCCAACAATTATGGTGATTCTTTTTTTTTTCCGGTGAATGTTGTTTGTGTGAGTTGCTAGGGTGAGTAAAACTAAAAGTGTGTTATGTGTAAAATGTTAGGATTTTCTTTTTTAAGTTAAAAAAATATAGAAATTTAAAAAAATTTATTAGCGGGCTTAAACAGGTCGACCCGCAACTCTACAGGGCCAGCTCCTTTATTTTTCAATCCTACAGGATTGGTCCTTTTAAGCCTAACTTCCCTTTTAAAGTTTCAAAATACAAGCCCAGCTCTCAACTTAAACGAGTCAGCCCGACAAGTTCGGTCTGTTTTTCTGACTCTACCTGTCAGCTCTCAAAAGCTTGAAATCCCGTCCATCCAAATGATCTCAACGCTCAAAATTGGGACACATAATCTAACTCCTAAAATTGCATCCCCACCTCTTGCTTCATTATAATCTCGACCGTTCGTTCATTTTCTGGTTTCTGCCAAATCCCTGGCGATCTAAGGAGGTTGTTTTCGGTGCCTTCCAAACCATTCAACGACGACAATGCTCTTGCTCATGAGAAACCACCATCGGACACTATAATTTTGTCAAGAACAATAGAAACAAGCTAATAGAGGTGGAGATCAGCTAATTTAGAAATGGAGAAAGAACAAGATCAATAGAAACAAACAAAAACAAAATTCTAGTTATGTATTGCTACAAAGGTTAGCCAAAACCCAAAAAGCACTTCATCATGATCTTGGAACGATGTTAAATAGTAGTCCACTTCATTACATTCCAACGTCGCTGCAAAAGCTAGGAAACCCAAAATTGAAAGACATTGCCTCTTTTATCAATCAAAGAGCAAGAAACGTCTAAGGAGGCCGTCGACGAGGAAGCAAGGCCGAAAAGGAGAAGGCAAGCGAGGCTTGTCGTTGGTGGTCATGGGAAGGGAGAAGCTGAGATAAGAGCCTAATGATGTGGTGCAATATGAGCTATTGGATCATTTGAATGGACACGATTTCAAGATTCTAAGAGTAGTTGAAAATAAGGATAACCAGAGTCTGTTTGGTTGGTAGGAAGGTGGAAAAATGAACTCCTCCTTCTATTTGGTTAGAAATTTTGGGAGGGAGAGGAGCTAAAATTTCCCCTTGCCTTCTCTCCTTTACCTCATTTTGGCTCCCCTCCAAATGTAGGTTTTTTGAAGGGGAGCCAAATATTTAGACTAATTTATCCTAAAAAACCTTATGATATTCTATAAATGTCTTTGGACTGATTTATGATTTTACCCTGACTTTCTTCTCTTCCTGCTTCTCCTTCCTCGTTTGGCTATGCTCCAGCTTAAATTCTTATCTCCGGCACTAACCATATTTTTATACCCTAAACGGTACTTTGTTTTCTGTTATTTCATGGGTCACATGACATATATGACTTTCAGTCTTTAATATTAAAAGCTAGTTGACTAATTTGAGTAGATTAAAGAAGTTTGTTAAATTAGTTATTTGTAATAATTAGGTGTTGTCTTCCTTAAAATACCATTGCTAATCATCTATTAGTTAAAACTACTATTTGAACGTTTAACATGTGCAGCTCATATAAGGACTAATGTAAATAAATAAATAAATATGAGAACAAAAAGTGAATTAAAATCTTATATTGAGGACCAAATTAAAAATTAAACTAGCTTTTATATTAAAAACCGGAGGTAGTATATCATTTCTTTGCTTCCTTCCATCGGTTTTCTTTGGATTTTTCTTTTTTAAAGATTTGATGTAATTTATAGTTTCACATTGTCTCCACCATAAATTCTATTATCATATCAACCATATTATCAACTCAAAAAAATTATTTTATTTTTCAGTAACATACATATAAAAAGATATAAACTAACATATGAGAGTGTAATAGCAAATTAGTTATTACCTCCCATTCCCTTCTTTTTTGAACCGAACAAACGAGTGTTAAATATTCCTTCCCTCTTCTCCTCTCTAATCAAACCAAATAGTGTAATATTAAAACCTCTCCCGCCCTCCCCCACACTACACTTTCCTCCCTCCCATCCCATCCCTTCAAACCAAACAGACTCTTAGAAGATCTAGCTCCATGGGTAGGTGTGTTTCCTTCTCCTTCCTCACCTCTCCTCCCAAATTTTGAGTTTTTATTAGGAAGAAAATTTTTTTGTTACACTTTGACTAAATTATCCACGCTAACTGTTTTATATTCTAATTTTGCCTGTTTGACTAAGGGCCTATATGGTTTAAAAAATTAATTGGAATGGAAATGAATCAAAAAAAAATTAAAAAGAAGGGAATGAAATATTTCCGGTAGAGTGAGTTTTTGGTTCAAACCAGAATTAAAAATTGGTCCAATGAAAATTTTATATTTGGTTGGATGAAAATGGGTTAAAAAATTGAGCCATTTTACCATGTTACACTTAATGAAAGATTAACATTATTAAATAAAAAAATGCTGCTTTTAATAAAAAGACAAAATGATATAAATTAAAAAATGTTTTTTAGCCTTCGAGAATAATAATATTATTAAAAAATTCAATAAATTATACTTTAAACAAATAAATATGGAGTAAGCACATTTGAATTTAATACAGTAAATTCAAATTGTCTTGTATCAAGTTCAAATTTATTTGAGCATATTTAAATTTCTCTGTACAAATTCTAATTTCATGCACGATATTCAAAATTTTGCGCAAAATTTTGATTTTGCCCTGTCATGCTTAGGCCCTCTACTATGCTCTATTTTTTATTCACCAAACATAGTATATGTTCACGTAAAAAATGGCGATAAGAAAAATCAATTTATTTGCCTCAGATAGCAAGGCTAACTTGTTAGATTTTTCTAGAGACGTTTTAGAATATTGGAAGTGACAAACGGACTTGAAACTTTTTCCTTACACATGCGAATATATATATATATATGTATATATACATCTACACGCACACAAGTTTCATATACAGTTTGACTGAGTCATATGAAGATATTAATTGGCTGGCAGTAAAGTAGCACAAGTAAATAATGAAAGGGCGAAGCATGAAGGTAAATACAATGATGTTACGGGGTTCATTTAGTGATGTTGATGATAAGGGTGCCTGTTGGTGGGACGAAGGTCGTCGAGAGAAAGAGAGACATCCGGGGCATGATCATTGGTAAGTTTTCCATCATTCCTCTCGCCCAGCCACTAAAAATATTCCATAAGACAAACGGGTCAATCAGCCTTTAGTATGGGCGATTGAAAATCTGTTCTCACTACTTTTTGTGGGAACACAGTTTCAGCTCTTTAAAAGAAAATCAGGTCTCCGGTTCCATTCCTTTCCTGCTTCCTCTTTGAACCAAACGCCCGCTTCCTCCATTGCAGGATTTTCCCTGAACCAAACGGGCCCTAGGGCATTTCTTTCTTCTCTCTCGTCGCTTTTGCTCTTTTTCTTGCTGACTCATTCTGTTGTTTTGCATCATCAGTCGTTGGTCTCCTCCGCAGTACCATTAGTCCGCGCCTACTGTTGCTTTCTATCCTTTTCTCGCTTCTCAAGATCTCACTGATCCTGGGCTTTCTTCTCCCTCCATCATCACCTTCACTTCTGCAGGGTTGTTTCCATCTGAGATTTGCATCATTGCTGATGATGAAGATGACGATGCAGCGTTTGAGAAGGATCCTAGGCCAATGTAATGAATGGGCCTAAGAATAGTATGGTTTGGGATCTTGAGATGGCAAAGAATGGGCCAGAAGGGCTGAACAAGGACTGGGTTTGATCCTTGATCACGTCACGACACTAGGGAGGCGTCTTCAAAACCAAGACCTCAACTTGTGAATTGTGAATAGGGATAGAAGTAGGTCAGACGGTTTGTCAGGAGTATTTGACTTGGCCTGTTCAGCCTGTTATGAGTTTAAAATTTTATGTATTTATTCAATTATGAAAGATATGAGTATTAAACTCTAGACCTATAGATGACAACTTAACAACTTCACCACTAAACTAATGCGGTTTTCATTATTTTCTATGCATGATTTATAATTTAAAACCCAATTAGTTAAC